TGAGATATTTTGAAAAGATGGTCGTCATTAGCATCTCAAAATGCAAAGCTCGCAAAAATTCCCCAAAACGATTTCTGGTAATGACTAACGTATTGGCGACCGTGCCTTTTGTACTGTCCTTACATTATCTTTCAATTTCTCTTTTGACTGTATATAAATGCTACAGGAGCACGATATGGTGTGGCCCGCCGGCGGGCCACGCGGTCGTCAATGGGTTAATCTGAAGAAGGCTATACTATTACATTACCCAGGGAGCCAAGATGGTCCGCCTTGGGTGACTACGTCGCTAAGTATATTTTGGTGCCCTTAAAACTGATTGTACAGTGTGCACCGGATTTTCAGGTGCACACTGTTCAATCAGTTATAAGGGCACCGAAATGGACTTAGCCGACGTACTCACCCAAGGCGGACCAATTCTCACAACGTTGAGAAAGTTGTGAAGTTTGCACCATTCGCAACGGGACCAACACGGTGACCAATCTCAATCTTTGACCGTTGATCATCCGTGGAAGGATTCGCATTCGACTTTCATTCAGAATCGTTGTGGCATAATGAATGCGTATGTGGCCTATACAACGGCTTACGGAGACCAGCCGATATAGAAGTCAGTGCTTTTATTATCATAGACGAATCTCGTACCAATTAACCGACCTCAGAGAGATGGAATTTTCGGTAACCCTAGGTGGATATCGATCCGGAATTCGAACCGGTAACCATGCGTGGGTTGCTCCCATTATTCATCTAAACCTAGATACCCAAGAATAACTGTGAACTGTGCCTTTGAGCGAACCAAAAACTACCTTTTGTTACGTTGTAAGAGGATGGAAGGCGATAGAAGAGATTGAGGTTGATCAGCCAGTTTCTTCTACAACGCACCCGGATTTCTAAATACCACTGTCGAGGATTCTGCTAAGTGTTTTGCTACTACAAAGCCCAGCGCTAGCTGGATTTTAGTTCCTGGTCGTGTTTTGGTTCCACGGCGACAGAGCGATATCAATTATCCGCTTACGTGAAAGCAGTGAGCCGCCATGTGCAGTAGAAAAGTCAGCAAGGACAAGACGATGCAAGGTGATTAATATAACTGAAAAAAGGCACATAAACTTTTGCGTAAATGTCTTTGCTTCGAGTTTTACATAGTGTGACCATTTTTTGTTTTAATATCGTAATGAGCCGAAAACTGATCAAAAACCTGTGATTGTAGCTGGAAAGGATGGACTTTTAATGGACTCAAAGGCGCAGTTCACGATAAATCTGGGGTAACTAGTTTTTGACGAATAATGGAAATGATAATCTGGAATAGTGTCAAAAAATGCGGAGAGGACGCGCACACCGGCCTATTTAGAGAAATGTAAGGCAGTAACGTAATACGCAGTGAAATTAGGGGTTATAAAAGAATAAGACGGCAGAAGTTGCATGGAAGGGGTGCAATTGCGCGCTCCTTGAACGAGCTGTTCAAATGTGCGTGCCATTGCATACAACTGGTAGCCATTGCATCAAAGTACCTGCGAGCAAGGTGTAGGTCCCGAAGCGAGTGGTGCAACCTCTGCAGCTTTGACAACGCTCGAAGACTCATCCGCCTTGGGTGCGTTCATTGGTTAAGCCGATTCTGGAGCCCTTTTTATACGGCATTTTTGACCCGACAGCACTTTGCTATAAGCCCTTAGGCTTTGAGATCATCTGTGAATAGCCTAAGTCAGTATTATCCAAGACCCAAGAATAGAGCCTGTTGTTGCCTACAGATAGTAGCACAACTCCCTTGTGTGGTTCAGTTTTTGATTAGCATATTTGAGATTACAGAGCTCGCGAGAACTGCAACAACGTGAGGTAAATCACAGGCTGTCCTTTTAAAAGCCTCAATGAAAAATTCACCTTCAATGATTGGAAAAAGTGATGCAATCCCAGCAAGAAGAGAGAAAAAAAGAGGAACAGCAATTTGGCTATGATCAGGGTCATTTGTGGCACTACATCAGATTGCCAAGGGTAATGTTCCGTACACGAACCTTGCTTTGAGATGGCGCATACAATGTTCATGCGAATCTTTCCTTCAAACATACCAAAACATTTGACTCCAATCAAGCATTCACAATGAGGCGTACCGAGATGAGAAATTTCTACTAAAGTCAAAGATAAAATAACATAGTGTACTTTACTAGGTTTCAGGGCCAGATTATTGGTTTGGAATAGTTATTCTATAACTGGAAAGCACCGTGGACAAAAGGAAACGAATTCACGAAAAACGTGCTCCATTTTGCACGGTGCGACATAATGCACCCCTTCATAAGTTGCAAATCGTAAGCCTTCTCTGCAATAATTAAATGTATCAGCTGTTGTCCCGTTGATCGGCTTTTTCGATACTCTGCCAGTAACGCCTTCATTCGTACCTGTCGCGAGCCTAAGTAGACCACTGGATCGTTTTCGCGCATGAGGTCTAGCAGTCTCGCTTGGAAGGCTTAGCATGCCTTTTGTTCAGAGCTTTCGTGAAATTTGGTCATGGTAACAGTTCTGGTGTTCATTTTGCGTCCCGAGGAATCAGTCGGTTGCTGCTCTGGTTCAACGGTTCTCACACAATTGCATGAAGTGTCTGGCCTAACTGATCCTCTATTTTTAGCGTTAGCAGCGGCAGTCTTGATCTTCGTTCATTAAAGGAGTCCTAAACTCTAGATTTCCTGCTTTACTCAAATGTATAGGGAAATTCCGAGCACTAGAGGTTTTTTGACATCTTCGATTGCTCCCTACGTGTTTCTTCCTCCCAGCTCCGGTGCGAGGCCGCTTTTCATGTCAATTTTTTGAAGAGGTACATGCAGCTATGGCAGTCAATGTTGTTTGTACCGCTAAAGGGATCAATAGCCAATCTATTTCTCATGAATTGTCTTCCAGTACACGTCAAGTTCGGGAACCAATAGTCCAGCCTGCTTGTTGCTCGGTGGTATAATGGACGATGCCGTCTGCGTATCCGACATGTTGTGCGTAGTGGCGATCCCTCACTCCCATATCTTTTCTGTACGAATGACACATGATGCCATCAAAAACAGCACTGAAATATTTGAGCAAATGGAAAAGCCATGCCGAAACACTACCATCATACTGACCTTGTAAAATGATCCTGGTCCTGAGGCTGTTGTAAAGCTAACAAAGCGTCCTTATGCATTGAGTAACAAACTCTATTGCCCGAGTCTTCAATCAACTTTTATCTTTCGACGAAGGCCTTCTTTGAACCGACAAACGCCAGATATAACAACATACTGTGCTTTCGTGATAACCCTGTTAAAGGTGTGTAGCGTGAAAGTTTGCAGACAACAGCTTATTGTTTGATAGTTGCCAATATTGGCTGGATATCAGTTCCTACCCAGCATCACAGTCTTGCTAGTTTTCCACGATGAGGGTGACAATCGGGAGCTGAAAAGAGTGATTTACGTACCTTTCTTTTATGCCCGATTCGAAGGCAGAAGAGATGGACTAGAGGTAAAAGAGATGGAAGTGCAGGCAGTAATGAAGTAAGAAAATATTCTCCCAAACCAGCTGCTGCGAAGCTAGGCAGCTTCAGTATTCTAGACCGGTATTTTCCTATGAAAGATTTTCGGTTGCCATTTATTATCTCCTCCTCGGCAAACAAAGTTCACAATTCGGCATCCTAGGTTATTATTAATATACAACTACATATATATATATAGCACTCTATTTCTAGTGCTCCATTCATATTTTGTTGACCCAAATAGCTTCACTGAGTACCCCTTTGATGTCGTTTTGGCGGGGAATTGCCTTGGTTCGTTATTAGTTGTGCAATATTAGCTCTAGTATTGATTCGTATCCATATATTAGTATTTGTTTAATAGCATCTCCATTCTTATTGTCTTCAATCTTCATCGATTCTACTGACAACTTTATAAACAGTTATCAAGTAGTCATCCTCAATGGCTGAAGAACCTCGAGTGACAACCTATATTAGTTTGAGTGAGACCAATGTTGTTTCTTCTCTTGTTCAGATACACATTATGTATCATCTATAAGAATCACGTTATCACCTACAACTTCACCGAAGCGGAAAAGGATTGGAGAGGTGATCGTAGTCAGGGAGTTTACGAAAAGCAGCCGCTCGGAGACTTATGTACCGCGTGGAAAACTACCTCTATCTTCATACGAGGGAGCTGAACACGACGCAGAAAGTGGAGCTGGTCTGACCTAAGATAGTGTCCCTAGGTATCGAAGCTCTAAAGAAGGTGCCAGTGACCTCTTCTTCTGTCTGCAGAAAGGAATAGAATTCATCTGCACCGCGAGAAGTATCGCAAAGCACGAACCAATTGAACATAACTTCATTAACGATACAATAGCATTCAAAAACTTGGAAAAGGATCTGCAAGTGAATGAGAGAGAAACCAAGAGCTTGAAAAAAGGACTCAAAGGCCTTGCAGCGATAGAGGCAGCTTTTGTGATGGAGTTCGATGGCTCCAATAGAGGCTTGACCACGAAAGTCGTATCGACATATAAGTGGCTTAAGGAACATTTGAATATTGGTTAACGTTTGCGGTATCGGTCATCATCTACAAAATGGATAGCAGAGGAGCTAAAAAAGTGTATACCATATCCACAGAGTCTTGACGTACAAGCTATCAACGTTTGAGTGCAGTGTATGTAGAATCTTAACCATTGAACAGCATTGGCTTTATGAATTTTATAGTTTTTTTTTGTTATATTGTCAGTGTTTGGAAAGGATTCGGAGACAGTGAAAGACTATGTAACTTATTCCGTTCAGGCTTTGAAAAGGTGCACAGAAAAGGTACACGAGAAGGCGTCGTATACCCCAGTACGAATTTCCAACCATTGCACTCTATATTTTGCTCTAATATTTTACCAACTATTTCACTATTGAGGTTTCTAGTTCTGGGATCACAAAAGTGATCCACGAAGGCTGCATGTTTACTGAAGACAATTTTCCTCTTTACATTAATAGCACCAACGAAGCGAAATTTTCAACATCAGCACATTTTGTTCCGATATGCTGAAATTTCTTTCTTTCCAGATTTCTTATTTAGAAACTTTCGGAATCAGCATATTTTAACGAGACATACCAAAAATTTTTCAATATGCCCTTCGGTCTGGTCATACGCCAAAACAAAAAGCAGAAAAAGGAAGTACTCAAAATTCATTGAAATCTTACGATGATGAGTCTGGTGGTAAGCTAACAATCAGCTCCCAAAAACTGGATAGATCAGGGTTAAACTAGAGAAGGCTATAGGTTAATAGGAGGGCAGAAACATATATCTGAAATCTCAGTTTCGAAGAAAAAAACTCGATTTTTTCCGTGGAACCACATGTTGCAGAAGTTCACGATCTACATGTCGTGAACTTTCACAAAATTTCTTCTCTGGTATATAATGTCCATCAATAATGAATGCTGATGCTAAAGATGAATATTTGAATACATTGCATTCCCTTCTACCGTAGTTCTTGATGTAATATTGCAGACGAAGGCCTTAACCCGTATATAAGTTGAATGGGAAGATTGATGGTTGCTTTATGCTACTGTTATCTTGAGAATAAACTTCTGCTGCTGAACCCTATTTTGAACACCACACAGGGGTGATGACTGCGCATACTCACGACACTTAGTGTAAAACTCAAGCGGAAAATTATACAGTGATTTACGTCAGTGCGGCAGCACACTTTGCAGTGACAGTCGCTGAAGATCTGCTTGCAGAAGAAGCAGGGATTGGGACGTGGCAAATTCACGGTTGTAGTGGTGAACAGAGGAATAATTAGATGAATTAGGCTAGTTGTATAAGCAGCAACGTGGCAAGCCATTGTACATTTTAAACTATCATTGCCAATGAGATCGTTGTATCACAAGGGTTCTTTNACCCTTGGTAAGTCTATGCACTGATAAGCTGTTTTCAGACTGAACGATTCAACCGACGTGCGTCCTTCCGTCCGTCGCATGCGTGCGAGCGATGGCGGCGCTAGCCACTTGTTGACAACATTGGACGCGGATGGCTCTTGTGCCAGTGTTGTCGAAAAATGGCTAGCGCCGCAATCGCTCGCGCACGCGACGGACGGACACACGTCGCCTGAATCGTTGAAGTTTGAAGCAGCCATACCCGTGTCGCATATATTTCCACCCACGGTAGCAGTCTGCAATTGCGTATAAACAGCACATACACATATACATATAAACAGGACGGAACATTCAGCCAGAACTGGATGGACGCGGCAAATGGCGCGGCGAGATTCGTGGCGTTTGGGACGGCTTTGGCACCTATCATTGGAGTACAAACTTGAAGTAAAGTACATTAGTATGGTCAGATGATCGTACTAATCGACTCTACTTCAAATTTGAGTCTCAAAGATAGGCAGTTAAGTCGTTTAAATCGCCACGAGTTTCGCCGCGCGAATTGCCGCGTCCATCAAGTTCTGGGTGAATGTACCCATACCCAATCAGGAAAGGTTTCACCTCGCTATGGAAGTTTGATCTAAGACCTAGAAATATCAGAAGAATTCAGAATGCCGCTGAGGTTATAACAGCTTGGTGGTGTTTTCCAAAATTGTAATGAGAGCTCAGAGTTTGCCCAAAGATGTCCGCCAATCACCGACCGCAGAATAGAAAGCCGAAGGTGGAAATTTGTGGCAATGTTTTCATCATGTAATGTGACCTTAAATGGTTCCCTACTTAGTTTCAAAGTTTCAAATCATGCACACGACAAAGCAAAACAACATGTAATAAAACTTTATAACATAAAATCTGCCACAATTGTGGCTCGATCACAGAAAAGTCGTTTGTGGCGACCTCTACATCATTATGAAGACGACCCGAGAACACCACTTAATTTTTTGAAAAAAAAAGAAAAGTCAACATTGAAAATACAATTTCGGCTTCAAAAACCATATTCACCCAGGGAGGACTAAGTATATGAACAATAAAATCAATACTAGCGATCATTGAAGTGAATAACCACCATAAATGGGGAAATGGGGGGAAAGAGATAAGTGACCTAACATTCCTTCATAACGATCATTTTGGCACACAGTAGAATTTACATATTATGTTTAATACTCTGAAAACAGCTCCATTCACAACACAAAAGCAACAAAGGCTTAATTTTGTGATATTCCAGATGATATAGCAGCTCATAGTTATAATAATCGTGACTACCGTCACCTTCTCGTATTCGAATTCTTCAGAGATGGAAAAAGTGGTTTTTTTTTCGATACAGGGAGTAATCCTTCCAAAGGAGTGTTCCTATCTTTCTCGTTATAATTCAGTCTTTTGTAGTAATGAGTATCGCTTCTCACTCGGTTTCAACTGCTTGAAAACGGACGGAGGTGGTGTCGTGTCGCCTGGCTTGGCAGATGGCATTCCTCCTCCCTGCAAAAGTAAGCCCTACATTTACAATTAATTAAACTCAAGAGTAAGTAGACGATCCAGTTTTGCCCAGACAAATATCTCTACGATGTAGATTCTGTTTCATACAAAGACACGTGACTGGAATACGAAAACTGGTGTAAATGTAGCTGAGGGGAGGGGCAGCCATCGGATGGGTACCCCACCCCTCCCCCTCTCCCAACTACATTTTCACCCGAAAACGCATTCGCAGTAGCTGAGTTTGGTAATTTTTTCTGACAACTCGGCTCCCTCTAGATCCATCTATTTTGTATTTTGTTTTGTCTAAATTTTGTAAACAGTATTAAGAAGAACACCCCGCCAAGACACCGCTTCAATACAGAGCAAGAGCAGTGAAAAATCTGTATAACACTTACTTCAGCTTCTCGATTGTCATCCAAATCTTCGTCAGTTATACCATTTTCGGCTTTGAACTTTGCAAGATCAATCATCTTCTGATCAAGCGTTTCGTGAAAGTCCTTATGTAGTTTTCCCGAGTGAAGATCCATCACAAACTAAAGACGTACTTCTTTAGATTAGTTGAATTCCGGTATCATCTTTATGGCAAGGGCAGTGGTTGTGAGGTACCAGGTGGCGTGCTATTGCACACATGTCTAAGAATCGATTTTCGGAACGCTGAAGCCAACCAAATTTTCTAATAGAGGTCGCTTATTTGGTACCAGACACGCCTGGTGAGACGAAAGCCCTAAGTTGTTCATCGTTCGGTCCCGCAACTCATTGATTATGACAGAAACCCATTCAAGCCCTATTACGTCTCCGCGCCCACCCATAAAAAACGGCCTCAAAAAGCTTCGTCCTTCATTCGGTACTAGTCTGGGTACGCACACTGACGTCACAATAAAGAATGCTTTGAATACAGAAAGGATTCTCTGGTGAAGAGTTCCGCCCTACAAGAATCAGACCTATGAACTGTCATGGAACAAAATTACAGACGTGGAGTGTACCGCCCAGTTTAAGGATGCTGCGGCCGCAATTCGGCCTAATTGGCCAGATTCACCTAACCTTGTCGATTTTTCCCAGTGCTCATTTCCCTAAACCTGTATGGGGAAGTTTCAAACGACGCCGCCCATTTCGGTGCATGTTCCGCCCCATGAGGGCGAGTTCCACTACTATCCGATGTGACTTCGTCGATCTTGCCTTAGGAAACACCCACCTCAACACTCATCTAGATACTTAATATGTAACACCGATCAGATATAGATTGACGCAAGCGCATCATTCATAGTACATATTATTTTCTAGAAGCAACAACTTTGTAAAATATAATAACTTAGAAAGGATAAGCAGACGTTAAGACTAACTTCTCTCAGTTTCCCCGGGACCGTCAATTGGGACATGTCCGGGAAAAGATACATGTGTTGGAAAGAGTCAATTGCAAGAACTGGTAGATCCTGAAATAAACAAGTAGCTGACAGCTGACAAATGCCCTTCAGCATCATTCTCCATTTCCTGAAAACCGAAGAGAAGGAGTGCATCAGACTATTTCCACTACAAATATGAAAATGCAGCTTGGTGAGGAACTTCTATGCCCAAAACTCACCTTCATGGTTTTTCCAAGATGCTTGAGTGGATGGGCGAATTTGTGACCGTCGGCTAACAGTGGGTTGACCGATGCTCGTTGATCGTAGAGTTCACGAACCACCTACAAAATTCAAGAGTAACATGAAAAAGAAACTTCCAAGTTCGGGAAAGACAGCAGGAACGAGTATTAATGATATATCAGATCGAAAAAAGAGATGGATGAGATCAAATTGATGCATTGAAATCTACTGAAAGGATACCTGCTCTGTGAACATTTTGTCTTGGTCTCTCCTTTTGGAATCGCGGAAGAACAACAAAAACGGTAATCCTTCTTCGGTCAACTCTTCGACATTTTCAAACGTCACTTCACTGAAAGTATTCCTCGAAGTTACTGAAGAAACATATCTGATGCAAAGGTAATCATTATAGGCTCTCTGGCTTGATGATAGCAGTATCACCTGGACAACTTGGTTGGGGAGGATGTGGTGGAGTGGCTAGTGGCGCACTACCACACACATACTAATTCGCAAGTTCAACACCGAATTATATATCTGCCTACAACCATCTATCCCTTAAAGGCGTGTTGCTTTGGCACCATTCCTTTCTGTGAGCATACAGTAGCGCTCAAAAGTCTTCGGTGAAATGCTTTGACGCTTTTTCGTCCATAACTTTTTTCTTAATAGACCAAATCGGGCGAAATTTGGATATGTTCAACGGGAGCATATTTCACCCTACCCAACATTATTTGACTGCAAAGCTGCAATATCCACAGATAGAGCAACGTGTTTGTTGCGGTAGCAGATTTTGCTAAAACCAAACTTGTTGACGTCTGCACTCATTCGCACCTTATGTGCGTTTTTCTCATCCATTGTGTTCGGCATTACCGCTCGTTCACTTTAGACATGACAAAAAGGAAAGAGATTCTAGAAGGACCATCTTCTGTATTTTCAGTCGATATTATGTTCATGCTCTTTGGATTATCTTGAACATGATCAGATTGCACGTTAATAGTGGTAAATATTCACTATGCACCCGCGCTCCAAATATAGAAATTTCGCATGATTTTCGCATCCAGTAGGAAAGGAATTACGTCTAGAAACTACGGCTGAACAACCATTTCACCGAAGACTTTTGAGCGCTACTGTAGTAGCGCTAAATTATAACCCAACTGGCCATCACGAGTTCTTGTATTGGCGGCATACAGATTCAAAACGTCATACGATCCGAAAGGAAGTCGAATGGAGGTGCATTTCAGAAGAAAGATTGAGTAACGCCAAAAGGTTTTATCCTTCAACCTTCTACTTTACCTAAGTGAGGGTTCAGGCTGATGCATCGACCTGCTATTTGGAACTCATCTGGTATCGTGCGGCGGCGTTTTGTCTCCTTAATTTGCTTGTTTCCTTTATTCCTTTGTTAATAAGTAATTTCTGTGTTTTTTTCGTTTATAATAACTTCCTCCTTCTTCAGTGTTTTTTTTTTGGTTTCGGATTCTTCTTGAACTTAATTACTTCAGCTAATTACCTGTTCTCGCTTTTCCATCGTCCGTTTGGTGCTCGTTCAATTTATTTGTTGATCGATTTTGTCATTAGTGTGCGCGACTGACAATGCCACCCAAGGTAGATCGAC